TGGGGATTGTTAAATGTTGCATTGCATTGGGAATGAACATGTTGGGTGTTGATTGAAATGAATATGTGTAATCAATAATGTATACTATACCCCATTGGTGCATTTATAGTCACTTTTGGCCTATTATCCATTCTCTCTTTGCATCTTGTGGCCTTGCCTGAGAGTCAACCCAAGGCAACAGGTTTTCGGTGTGCAAGTGGTTGACGCGAATCCAAAGACGTTAGTGATCCAATTTGCTGATCCGTTGGGTTGCTCAAGAGGTTTGTGACTCGGCTTCTGTGGAAAGTATAGCCGAAAATCAGTTTCAGTGGAATCAAGTTTTAATCTAATTAAAGTTCAGTTCATCTTTAGATAGGTTTGTGTTTGAGTCGATTACGATTTGTTAATGGGTTTACGAGATCTACTCGAGTTTGACTCATCAATTAATTCGTGAAATTGACTTGAGCTCATGTATCATAGAATTTAGTTCATAATCTTTTTTACTGGAAAAAACAACTTATAATCTATAATACATAGTTTTTCTTTTAGCTTATAAATGCGACAATTTTGTCCATGTACTGAACGTCTTAAAATCATATGCAGTGAGATATATAATCTAACAAACCTATAATATTATCAACAAACCTACGATATTATCAACAAATCAACTCACAATCTATAAATTAATAAACCGCTATTCGAGGTGGCTCATTAGCCACACCGTTAAGTCAACCCATAACTCAAAACGAGCTAATTCATGAGTTAAACTCAACAACCCACTAAACCAAGTTGCATGGCTCGCGAACCTCGCGAATCGAAAAAGCCTTGGTTAAACCTCAACTCGTTCTCTAAATAATTTGAGTTGATTAATATTATACAAAACTCAGATGCAAATGCAATGAATCGAGAATGAGGAGGACCAAAATGAATTGAGCGAAAATACGACTCATGTCGGTATTATAGCAAACTCAAATTTTTAGTAGGTCAAGTTCAGAACTTCAGATTACTATCCATTTCCAATAGTCCTAATCAACGTTACAACCATCATAGCAGAATACACAATACACATTTACGATGCAAGAGAAATCTCAATTCTCACTGTTGACATGAGTATAAGTATTTCCTTTTTTTCTCAAACTTTTGGTTATGTATACACTCGCAGGTATGGTCGATTCATGCATATGAATCTCTACTATAAGTTTGTTCTTCGTGGTCCATGAAGAGTTTTTTTGGTTCTGAAATGGTCCAAAAAGAGGTTAGGATGTGGACCGAAAGACTCAAAGAGACGCATATATATCAGATCATAAATTGTACACAAGTTGGGTGGGAGCCTCTAAGTAGTGATGGAAATTGATTGTGTTGGGTCATATATATTCTGTCAAATTTAAATTCAAATCAATGGATTCATCCAAAAAAAACTCTTGGAAAATACCCTATGAATTCTAAAATCTCAAACTCAACCCAACCCACTAGATATCCGCAGGTTCATGGATAAAATGCAAAAGTATCAATTTTCAATTGCAATTGTCTAGTACATACAAACAAACTCGCAAACTATTCAAGTATTCATATTAATTGTTCAATACTAAAGATAAACATCCACAACCCCGTAAGTTACTAAATCGGGTAAATGACACATTTGGTCACTGAGATTATTAAATTGTGTCATGTTTAATCACTAGAAAAAATTAATATCAATTTTGGTCACTCGAATTACCGAAACTGGTCAAATTTAGTCACTCTCCCGTCAGTTTCCGTCCAACTCCATTAATGTAGTTGGACGGAAACTTTTGGGAGAGTGACTAAATGTGACATGTTTCAGTAATCCGAGTGACTAAAAGTGACATTTTTCAATAATTCGAGTGACCGGAGTTGGACAGAGGCTACAGAAGAGTGACCAAATATGACATGTTTCAGTAATTCGAGTGACCAAAATTGATATTAAATTTTTCTAGTGACTAAATATGACACGATTTAGTAATCTCAGTGACCAAATGTGTCATTTACCCTTACTAAATCTAAACACATCAAGTTTAGGAAATTTCGAGTTAAGTGTTGAGTAATTCGTGGGTCATGGGAGCTTGGGCGCGGGTTACGTTCAGGTATCCACGGGTCGGATATGATTAAATGTGAACCCAACCCAACTTGCAAAACAGTAAAATGGGTTTCAACCCCAACTCGAACCACAATTCGTCAACACGGGTTTTACCCAATTCTACCGGGTTGGGTGGGGTAAGATACCCGCGGATTCATTTTTGGTTGCCATTCCTAGGAGGGAGTAGCCATTAGCGAGAATGTGTTCTGACTTATGATGCGATTTACTTACGAGATATTATGACAATTTTGAAATTTCTGAACTTGTGTATTTTTATATTTTCTTAAATATTTAGTATTTTGTCGTTAAATTTGAATATTCGTATTATCTATAGTAGAATTTAGATTAATTTTAGTATTTGTTTATAATTTTATTATTGTTTTCTACCGGAATAAGTTTTACATTTTGTGTAGGGAAAATGAGAGATAGGTCGTTGGTCTAAGATCAGGAGAAGAAGAGGGATTTTGAAGGTTTCTCCTTGTCTACAAATATGTATACATTCTTAGTTTAACGTCATAAGAAGATTGAAATCCATATATAGGTTATTTGATTTATTCTTATACTTCGTACAAATGTTTGAGAAACCACTTCATCATCTAAATTCTTGTCTCGTAACAACATGCGAAAATTCATGACTTGGTTTTTGTAGAGTCTTTTTCTTTTTCTTTTTTGTAATACATAGGAACCACTAATTATATTTTGATAGAGGCAGTGAAATACACTATCAGAAGCACAAGGCAAATAAAATGTCGATGGATTAGTTGTGGGAATGAATGTGTTGGGTGTTCGATTGAAATGTCACGTGTATTCTATACCCCATTGCCGCATTTATTTGCACTTCTCTTGTTTGGCAAGCATTACACTTCTCTTCTTCACTTGTTTGATGCCTTCATAGTTCATATACCTTGGAGCATTACGGGCTTGGTGCCTTGCATGATGACTTGCATCGGTGCCATGCTTGGCCTGCCTAGCTAACTTGGTGTCTTGTATGCTTGGAATGGTCGCACGAGGTGGTCGCGCAACCATGGGGGCTTGGACGCATTATTTGCTTGTCACGCAAGAGACCTCTCGACACACTGTGGTGAGTTTAGAGCTTGGCGTTGTGTATTATGACTCGGAGCTTGGATGATGACCACCTAGATGCTCACTAGATTGCCTTTAGTGCTTAGCTAATGAGACCATGATGATGTACACTCTTATATTGCGCTTTAGGCGATTTGATAGTCTCGATGGCCACATGGTTTACACATCGTAGGTGTCTTGATGGCTAGATGTCACGCTTGACACCCTGGTTGTACTTGTAGACATAGATTATTATGGGTGCTTGTTGATGATTACTTGCCATGTTGAAACTACTCAAAATCAAACAAAAGAAAAATTAGAGGATTGGTTTTTTAAAATTATTTATGAGTAAAGTTATACATGGAGTGGAAGAATGGTTAGGGACCAGGAATTGAGGAACCATACTGGGAAAATGAGAAAGAATGGAAAAGAGAACTTTTCTTTCTTGATTAAGCGAGTGTTTGAAGAAAATGGTGTAATCATACAAATAATGATGTATCATAATTGAAGGTTACTACAATGATTATGAAATAGTTGTCAAAGCAATTAATCTAATCCGTACGTAACCTTTAGTATATATTTAAGTTGATGGGATTAGAAAACTAGTGAAGAGATCAAGGATCATGTGCATCAAATAATGGCAGAGCACTGGTGGGAGGAGTGACGATGGCCAGGCTCAATTCCCTTATATTATGGGGTTAGTTTTTAAGAAAAAACCTAAAAATGATTATTAATACTTTTGATAACTCATGTTTTTGTTTTATTGTCCCTCATTGTTTAGCTAATTAGCTTTCTAAGTGGGGTTGGTTGGTCCTTCAAATAACCAAGGTTAAGTATCTCTGGTTATATCATTCCTCAAGGAAAAAAAAAAGAAAAAGCGAAGTGTTAGTAAATGGTATATGATGTACTATTGAATTTATTCTAACAATTTGAGTTAATGAAACCAATTGGTTCTTGACATTGTATTAGAGTCTTTTGTAATTGAGAGGTCTTTTGTTCGCATCCCGATGACCCACATATGTTCTGTTAAGCACATGGTGTCCGGACTTGTGCAAACTTCAAGCCTATATATGGTGGTTTTCGTGTTTGAGTGGTTGTGTTAGTAAATGGTGTATTATCTCTTAAGTAGCATTAATGATGACATTTTCTGATCTGACTCGTCCCGATCTATTTGAGTCGAGTATTACCCGACCTGTAGTAGCTGGAGATGTGTATGGGTATCGCTTTCGACTTGCCCTACCCCGTTCCGTTTCGTTCTTGATCCGTTCTATCATAATTTTTATGAATATGTACATGTATACCACCATATAACATATAATAGTAGGTTGACCCGCTCTGAATATTACACTACCTTACTCATGTTTGATGGAGAGCTCAATATTGATATTGAGATACACGACTAGTCCATTGTCATCTTAAAAAACAAAAACCTTACCACCCTACAAAATTGTTCTTTTGCCATGGATGAATGCGAATAATCTTTACCATGATCTCTTATCATGATCTTATAAAGATCATGGGATTCACTGTCAACAAGCAGAAACCAAAGAGGAAAAGACATCACGAAAACACAGAGAGAAGAGATGGGGGAAAAGAAGACGAAAAGAAAGAGGGGGAAGGCAAGGCAGGCGAAATCAGTCAGTTCAGTAATGGCATTTTCAATGGAAGCCACAGAAAATTAATACTCAACAGATAAAATAAATAATCAGATAATAAATAAATAATAGACAGATACATCCTCGATACTCCAGTTCATTACTGTTCATCTTTTATTACATCAACTCAACCATTACAATAATTAGAAATCAAGAAAAGTAAAAGAAAAATCGAAATTAGCATAGAAAATGATAGTCACGCAAACACGGAGACAGAGAGAGAAGGAAGAAGAGGAAGAAGAAGAAGCATTGGTGAAGGAAGACTGGAAGAGAGAGGGAGAAGAGGAAAAGGGTAGAGGGAAAGGGTTTTTTCTTTTGTCTGGGTAATGTAGGGGAACATAGGGGCAAGCAAAAAATTCATACCCTTGTTTGGTCTCTGAGAAACTCAACATCCTGCACTAACCCAGAAAATCCCTCACCTTTCCTCCTGCAAGCTTTTTTCCTGTTTGTGGGGATTTCAGGGTTTCTTTTCTTTTTCGGTTTTGCCGAGTTCCTTCATCAAGCTAAGCTTCTCACCGGCCACTTCTTTTCCGGCCAACTGGCCGGAAGTTCAACCGATCTGTATTTTCTACCTATTGGGTATGGAGGAAATGCTTTGAAGTTTTCTGGGTCAGGTGGGTTTGAAGTAAAGTTCCGGACTTTGATGAAGCGTAGCTTTTGAATCAGCCTAAGACAAGGGAAGAAAGGGAGCTATGGGGAAGTGAATATACTCCGGATCAGCTTCGTCTTTACTCCACAAATCAGTACCGGAAAGAGGGGTAAAGCAAAAAAAAGTAGAAGGCAATGAAAACGCCGGCGAACGGCGCCGGAGCCGCCGTCCTCTCTTCCTCCACCGCCACCACTACCACAGCTAATCCAGCTGAAGCAGGTGAAGTTTTGTGATTAAAATTTTGATTAATACTCTTGACCTTGAGCTCGGCCGCATCATAGCAAGATGTCTATGTGTCGGTATGCAGCTAAGTTTAATGGTGGGAGAACAAAATTTCCGGTTTTAATTTTGCATAATTTGGATCAACAACGTAATTGACGAAGGTTTCCCAGAAGGGGAATTTGTCTCTATCTCCATCACAGCTAGTGTTGTGACTTGTGAGCCGGCTGTTTTGTCGCTTTTCCTCCATTTCCCCCCTTCCTTTCCTGTTATAAGATTTTTTCTTGGGAGCCAAACAAAGAGGAGAGATGGCAGAGAAAGGAAAAGTTGTCTTTCCATCTCAGATAGGGAAATGAAAAGGAAGATAGGGGATCTTGGAAGGAATGGGTGGTTGAGATTCAGTGCGAACCATTCTGCTGCTGCTGCTGATAATATTGATGAGGATGATGATGATGATGCAGGGTCAGCAGAGAAGAAGACCATAAACGTTGAGCTATGGCAAGCTTGTGCTGGACCTCTGGTGAACTTGCCAGCCGCAGGCACCCATGTCGTTTACTTCCCTCAAGGCCACAGTGAACAGGTGAATTGTCCAAATAACTCCATTAAAGCTCCATTTTGGTAGGTTTCCAGCAGTTAATCCCTCATTTATGGTTGGGAAGTTCGATCATAATTTACCCTTTTGCTCTTGCTCTCCCAGAATTTTTAGGCAAACAAATCAAAGTATCTAGTTCCAGATTCTGTGGAGGGAAGAAATTTCAGTTTCTTCTTGCCTGCCTAAGTCAACGCTTGTTTGTCCCTCGTAGTATTTGGTTTGAAGAAGTTATAGATAGACTGCGCAAGAAAGAGATGTTGTTTGGAACATGGAGTTATAGATAGGTTGGAGATTTAGACCTCGTAAAACTCGTCTGTAAGTCAGGTTTGTTAGTATAGTTTAGGGTTTGATTTATGTTTGAGAAGATTTGGGTATTTAGCAAATTGTTTGGTCGCGTTTATCAATTTCAACATTCCTAAGGTCTTCTATGACATCCTTTTGAAACTTGCTGCTCCAAATGTCAGCTGTGAATGGACTTTTATGATTGCTTGTTGTTGCAAGTTTTTAATTTTCCCTTATGTATGTCATTTTATCTTTTTGGCTTTGAGGTAGATCGTTGTCCTCACATGATATCGATACCATGGGCTTCAGGTTGCGGCGTCTATGAAGAAGGATGTGGATGGACAAATTCCAAACTACCCCAATCTCCCTTCCAAGCTGCTATGTCTCCTTCACAGTGTTACATTGCATGTAAAGACAGTTCTAATTCCTTTGCCTTTTCACATCTAGCTTGTAATTCCATCGTGTACCATGAGTTTCTTTGGATCAGTGGTGTTAAAGACTATTAATTCTTCATTTTATTTCGTAGGCGGACCCAGAAACAGATGAAGTTTATGCTCAGATGACCCTCCAACCTGTTCCCTCTGTAAGGACTTTGTTTGAACAAACTGAAAGAATATGCTTTCAACTTAAACCAAACCACTGAGAGTAACTATGATTATAGTGCAATAACTTATACTTCTTTCATAACTAATTAACTTTATTAAACTGCTAAGCAGCTAACTTCAACTAAATATATCAGCAATTTGTGTGCAGTATGACAAGGAAGCATTACTGAGATCGGACCTTGCACTTAGGTCAAACAAGCCGCAACCAGAGTTTTTCTGTAAAACATTAACAGCAAGTGATACTAGTACTCATGGAGGCTTCTCTGTGCCTCGTCGAGCGGCTGAAAAGATTTTCCCACCCCTTGTATGCATCTCTCACCCTTGAAAATACAAACGCTCTGTTATTGCCAAAAACTCATGTTCCCACTACTCTTCATAGGATTTCTCTATGCAACCACCTGCTCAAGAAATTGTGGCCAGGGATCTACATGATAATGTTTGGACTTTCAGACATATCTACCGTGGTACATATTCTTTTTCTCTTCTGCCTGTTTCCTTAGATATCCTCACCTGAATTTTGATTCTCTGCTAATCCATATTCTTCTTTCCCTAAACTCAGGACAACCAAAGCGACACTTACTTACAACAGGCTGGAGTCTCTTTGTAAGTGGAAAGAGGCTTCTGGCTGGTGACTCGGTCTTGTTTATTAGGTAAATGCTGCAAAATAACTGAAGCTTTTTGCGCATGTCTCACTCTTTCTCCTTTTCACATCATATGATACTTATTGCCTAACACATGTATCTGAATACAGCTTTTCTAGTGAACCATCCACCTTGACTGACTAACCTTGTCATCCACATGTCTGAGCAGAGATGAAAAGCAGCAGCTTCTCTTGGGAATCAGACGTGCTAACAGGCAACCTACCAATTTGTCGTCATCAGTTTTATCAAGTGACAGCATGCACATTGGTATCCTTGCTGCTGCAGCACATGCAGCGGCTAACAATAGCCCCTTTACTGTGTTCTACAACCCAAGGTCAGTGATTGGGTGGAAAAAGTCCTTTTGGAACGATGCAAATCAGGAAATTGTTCTTTTTAGCAGTTTATTAACATTTGCCATCCGTTTATTTGCAGGGCTAGTCCATCAGAATTTGTTGTTCCATTAGCCAAATACTACAAGGCTGTCTATGGCAACCAAGTGTCACTTGGCATGCGCTTCCGGATGATGTTTGAAACTGAGGAATCTGGAACGAGAAGGTATTCTCATTTTCCACTTCTGAATGATGCTGATTTAGTTATGGACCATTGTCCTGTTTAGCTTGACTCACAAGCTTCAAATAATGTCTCCCCATTATGCAAGTTTGAGAATTGTGCTCTTATATGGTTTTGGAGATTGGAAGAAAATGGGGAGACTTTTTAATGTTTTCAAATTTGAGTTAAAATTCATGCAAAGTTGTACATACTGTTTGCAGGTACATGGGTACGATTACTGGTATTAGTGATCTTGATCCTGTAAGATGGAAGAATTCACAGTGGCGTAACTTGCAGGTGGTAACTTTGTCATTTGGGTTACCCTGAAGTTAGTTATCCACTATTTGAGACTAAAAGAACCATTTTCATCTTGTTGTGTTGATAGATCGGATGGGATGAGTCAACTGCAGGGGAAAGGCGCAATCGCGTTTCTGTTTGGGAGATCGAACCAGTCACTGCTCCATTTTTCATATGCCCCCCTCCTTTCTTTAGATCCAAGCGTCCAAGACAACCAGGAATGCCAGGTATAAGAAGCTATGATGCTGCATTTGCAATACATGTTTCCTGCATTCTAGGAGCATATGTGAGTTCTGATTATCTGTCACTTAGGTGTCTATTTTGCTTACCTACCTTCTTGACTGGCATTTCTTTGTTGGATTAATGATACAGTCCTGGACGGAGTTGTTCTAAAGATCAGCATTCTTGGAAATTGAATTAATAATATATTTGGGTAGCTTTCATGTCAAGATTCCGTCATTTTGTCTGGTCTCAGCCCAAAGTTTGACCTTTTATGATTCCCAGCATCACCCCATGTGGTCTGTTACAAATGTGCCGAAGTGACAATAGAAAATCTTGAATATAGTGACAACTCTTTATTCCATGAGCAAGGCACTCCTTTAAGCTTGACAAGCACTTCACCTTTCCAAACCTATAGGTTCTCAACGATAGAAAATTTCTGAAAGATATAATTTCAATTTGCAGAAGACGACTCTTCTGATTTAGATGGCATATTCAAGAGGAGCATGCCGTGGCTTGGTGATGATATCTTAAAGGATCCCCAAAATCTCCCTGGCCTAAGCTTAGTTCAATGGATGAACATGCAACAAAACCCGTCACTTGCTAATTCGATGCAGCAAAATTACATGCAATCCATGTCAGGTTCTGTTCTTCCAAACCTTGGCGCAGCTGACATTTCTCGACAGTTAGGGTTTTCATCAGCACCTCAAATTCTTCAGCCAAACAACTTCCAGTTGACTTCTCCAAGGCTACCTCAGCAAGGTCAACAGTTTGATCATCAGCTGACTAAAATGCCACCCTCAAGCATGAACCCATTGGCCTCAGTTGTACAACCGCAACAGCAACATGTCACTGATGGGTCTCAACAACCTAGGGCAAATTTAAGCCAAGTTCAATCCCAGATTCTGCAGCCTCAGTCTATGGGCCAGGCCAATGGTAATTTGCAGCAACAGCAACAGCAACAGCAGCAGCAGCAGCAGCAGCAGCCACCTATTCAAAGTAATCATCAGCTAGCTAGAAATCTTTCTCCTAGCTTTCAGCAGCAAAGTCAAATGCAACATGTTTTAGGTCAGAACCAACATCAAGGCCTCATCATGCCAAACCAGTTGCCTGATCAAGTTAACCAGCATTTTCAATTATCTGATAATCAGATTCAGCTTCAGCTGTTGCAAAAGCTTCAGCAGCAGCAGCAGCAGTCACTCTTAGCTCAGCAGCAACAGCAGCAGCAGCAGGTGTCACCGTTAGCTTCTCAGACTCAGTTGCAAGACCCACAAAGACAATTAGTGGATGCATTCCAAAGCTTCTCGAGGTCCATGAGCTCCAACCAAATGTTGGAAATGCCTCAAGCTTTGACCTCTTCCATCCCACAGCCAAGTACTGCTCAACAGCAGATAGCTAAAAGCAACAACCAAGTGAATGCTCGATTTTCTCATCAGCCACATCAGCAGAAACTTCAGCACCAACAGCCTGAAATCCCTGGGCGTACATTGGGAGTACCTCCAAGATCGACAATAAATCAGCTCTCTGTAGCTGGCGGTAGCAATAATATGTTGACAGCTGGAGGAGCAGGCCAATCAGCAATCACTGATGATGTGCCATCTTGCTCTACTTCGCCTTCTACCAATAACTGCCCAAATCTGGTTCAGCCAATGATGAACGGTTATCGAAGCACTACGTTGGCAGAGGACATTTCTCCAGCTGCTGGCACACAACTTTTGAGTCCTGGTGCATTTTTGGACACAATGTCTGGTGCTAACCACCTCATGATGAAAGACATGCAGCAGCAGAGATCTGATGTTAAGCCATCCCTTAACATCTCCACCAAGAATCAAAACCAGGGATTTTTCACCCCCCACTCGTATGTGAACGGCACCACAACTACTCCGGCTGATTATTTAGACACTTCATCTTCAACCTCAGTCTGCCTGTCTCAGAACGACGTACAGCAGTTGCAGCAGAATAACAACCCCACGTCCTTTAATTCACAGTCGATGCTGATGAGAGGAGACACAAGCCAAGATGGAGGAGAACTTCCAGCGGCTGATCACAGGAGTAATAATGCGCCATATGGAATCGGCGTTGATGATGGGCAAGGCCAACTGGTTGGCATGCACATGAGTTCTGATAATTTGTTATCAAAGTCTATGGTGGGACTGGGGAAAGATTTCTCAAATAATCTCCCTTCTTCTGGGGGCTTGCTTGCTAACTGTGAAAATTCAAACTCGAAAGAACCTCAGCCGGAACTCTCGTCATCCATTGTGTCTCAATCATTTGGAGTTCCGGATTTGGCGTTCAACTCAATCGACTCCTCGATCAATGATAGCACCTTCTTGAACAGAAGCTCTTGGGCACCTCAACCCCAGTTTCAGCGGATGAGGACTTATACTAAGGTAGTTGTTTTGTAATATAGTGTTTTCTTTGTATACTTTGATACCTTCTATTTTGCTCACTTTCTAAGGTTGCCCATGTCCTTATTCTGAAGGTATATAAACGAGGAGCTGTGGGGAGGTCAATCGATATCACCCGTTATTCAGATTACGATGAGCTTAAGCACGATTTGGCTCGTCGGTTTGGAATAGAGGGTCAGTTGGAAGATCGTGGGAGGGTAGGATGGAAGCTTGTTTATGTGGATCATGAGAATGATGTCCTGCTAGTAGGGGATGATCCTTGGGAGTAAGTCCCTTCCAAATTTTATTTTTGAATCATTTACAAATATTTCATGAAGCCATTCTTCATGGTTTAAGTATATGCTCAAGTGATGGATGATTTTCAAACTTATAAGGACCCCAAAGAACCTATCTTTGGTGCTAAGTCGTTTACCTTTGTGTTTGCAGAGAGTTTGTGAGCTGCGTCCGATGCATCAAGATTCTTTCACCACAAGAAGTGCAGCAGATGAGCTTGGATGGAGATTTCGACAACTCTGCCCTTCCGAATCAAGCCTGTAGCAGTTCAGACAATGGCAATGCATGATGATTGATGAGAACACCAGTGGAGGGATGGTCTCTTTTTGCTTGTTCCATCAAGTGCTAGCAATATTCATGTTCCACCCATGCTTGGAACCAGTAGTAGAGAAATTCTGTTCATATTTGGGTAGCTTTCTTCTTTCGTCTATACTCCCACGCCAATCGGCCTGCTGCCACGCCTCAACTGGGCGTTTCGCTGACAGAGCCAGCTCAAGCTCCCAAAGCTCAAACAACTGTAAGAATTTTTTCCAGGTAGAGTTAGAGCTTGGAGAGAGTAAATAATGTAGCTTTTTCCAGTCAGTGAAGAATCCAGTTTGGGCGTGTAGTTGTAAAAGGTTCATGGTCTGTCATTTCCCCCCACTTAGAACGTGGAAGCTATGATATTATTGTCGTCCAGCTATTTGAGTGTATAAAATGTGCAGGCTTTTCTAAATTTTCGAGTTCCGAAGTTGAAAGGAAATGAATTGATCTGAGTCCATCTCGACTGTGTATTCTGCACTTACTTTTCTGCTAGCGATTCAATCACTCTTGGAAAGAAGCATTGCATTCATTGCAGTTCAACTTTTTTCATTTTAATCGTACGAAAAGCCTCAATTCATCGTCGTCGACTGAAAAGCAACGTTTATGCCTTCCGCTGAGTTCAACAACAGGTGCTATGAGGTTGCTCCTATGACCGTCGATAACTCTTCTTGTCTTGCTTGCATACCGGCCATCTGTTCATGGCTCTTGGTTTTTGAGGGAATATGCTCTGTGGAGTATAAAGATGACGATTTGGATATGATTCGTTTTATCTGAATTGTTTTATTCAACTAGGTTGGGCCCCTCCAGTTTCATTTATGTTTGTTTATTATTTTAATGATGTGGAAATATTAAAAGAGTTAAATTAATTTTTTATTGATTTTTTTAATTGCAACGTCATACATTTAACGATCAACTGTTAAGGTTGACTGACACATAAGATAAAGTTAACAGAGAGTGACTAAACATGGACCATTTTACTAATTCGAATAACCAAAATTGATATTAATTTTTTTTTTCCAGTGACTAAACATAACACATTTAAGTTAAACCCAGTGACCAAACTTGATATTTACCCATATGTCTACTCATCCGTTAGGGATAGACTTGCTCATAAGTCGCACGTTGAGCTGACTTGCTAACTACACCGTCGAACCAACTCCTGAGCTAAAAAACGAGTCAGCTCACATATTCATCTCAACAAGCAATCAAATCAAGTTAGCCAGCTCGCAAGCAAAACGGGTCTTAGCTCAAATTTTCTTCTTCTAAACCAAACGTGGAGCCACTCAATCAACTCAACTAATTTTCAGCCATACAAATAGAAATAGGGTACACAACATTTCGATCCGGACCGAACCAACTTTTGAGAATGACGGTCCAATAATGAAACTGAATATCACTTCAATCCATTTTTGTTTAGTATTTATAAAATTCATGAAACCGAATCATAATATATTTAGTTAGTATAATTAGATCCAGATGTCGATCAGCAACGCCACTTTTCTTTTTTCTACACGGACACACACGACACGAGGGCGTGCGGAGTTTCCGGTATCGAAAGTTGCGAGCGTTTCATCGGAAAGTGCAGGGGAAAAAACGTTTCACCCGGGAACCACAAGAAAAGGAGTGAGCCCCCATTTCTACAGGCTAAAAATACGTATTTTGTGAGCCCAAATTATCGCATCTCTCTCCGCTTCTTCGCAGGCAGCAAAAGGTTTATGAAAATTCCGATCACACTATCAAGTAGGGTTTTCGGATTTCGCTCTTCTTCTCTTCCCAATTCGGAAAGTAGCAATGGGCGCGCAGAAGAAAGGCAAGGTTGCGGAGGACGCCATGGAGCTGGCTCGTAATCCACTACAGGCCATTCTCTTGGCCGATAGCTTCACCACCAAGTTCCGCCCCATCACCCTCGAGCGCCCTAAAGTATGCATTTCTCGACAGTAACAGTTAGCTGCTGCCTGCTGCTCTCCGCAAATCCTTTGCTTACTAACTGTTTTGGTGCTTGGCTTGTAAGGTTCTCTTGCCGCTGGTGAACGTCCCGATGATTGACTACACGCTCGCTTGGCTGGAATCGGCTGGTGTCGAGGAGGTTTTCATTTTCTGCTGTGCGCATTCGAGGCAGGTCATGGATTACTTGGAGAGCTCGGAGTGGCACAAGCAGCCCAACTTCACCGTCACCACGATTGAGTCGCACAATTCGATTAGCGCCGGTGATGCTTTGAGGTTGATATACGAGCGCAATGTGGTGAGTTTTTTTTTTTTTTTTTTTTTTGCTGCTTGAACACTTTCAGTGAAATAGTGCTTGTCGTTGTGTAACGCTATGATTTGTACGGGTTCAGGAGGAAGAATTAGATGCTCACTTTGATCCGTTTCTAAATGGCCTTAGAGTGTTGATTGTGAATTTGTTACTGCTGTATGATCCTGATCGGTATTGTGTTCTTCGTGAAGATACACGGGGACTTTGTCCTGGTCAGTGGGGATACAGTGAGCAACATGTCACTGACCCAGGCAGTAAAAGAACACAAGGAGAGAAGAAAGAAGGACAACAATGCAGTCATGACCATGGTCATCAAGAAATCAAAGCCTTCTCCAGTCATCCACCAGTCGCGTCTGGGCACCGATGAGCTTTTCATGGCCATTGATCCTGATACCAAGCAGCTTCTCTGCTATGAGGAGAGAGGAGAGCACCCGAGAGGAGCTATATCTATTGACAATGCGTTACTTGCTGATAATCCTTCTATCTCGCTTCATAATGATAAGCAGGCTAGTTACTTCTACGTTCTTAGCTTTGGTTTTATTAATTTGCAAATCTATGAGAGTTCTTTTTAGTGTTTATATTTTGCGGATGTCGGGTTCCTCTCTGTATCTATTCCAACAAATTTGTTTGCACTGCCATTGCAGGATTGCTATATAGATATATGCTCTCAAGAGGTGCTGAGTTTGTTTACAGACAATTTTGACTATCAACATCTTCGGCGTCATTTCGTTAAAGGCTTGCTGGTTGATGATGTATGCTTTTTCTTGACCTCCTTGAAGCAGACACTTATGTATATATATTTGATATCTTTGGCCATCAGCAGAGGGATTCCATTTGAGACTTTGCAGAGTTAGATTTTTGTAATCAAAGTGGTCTCTACTGGCTTTATCTTATGATTAGCCGTATTCAGCTATACTACCTTGGCAACATTGATATCTGCCACATTATTAGCTGTGCAATTATCATTATTTTAAGCCTTTATGGTCTTCTGAATGACCTTCTTTTCACCTTTCAGATAATGGGGTACAAAATATTTACTCATGAAATTCTCTCTAGCTATGCGGCTAGGATTGATAACTACAGGAGCTATGACACGATTAGTAAGGATATCATTCAGAGGTGGACATACCCGTTTGTGCCAGATGTGAAATTTTCTGCAAATTGCACTACTAAACTTGAAAGAGAGGGGATGTACAAGGCACCAGGTAGTAAATTCCGTGAACCTGGAAAGTCGCCATCTATTATTTTTGCATGTCACTTCTGTTTCTTGAGGGCTATATTTATTTAGTCCTGTCATTCTGCTGTTGTGGAAGTTTCTTTTATCCTCATGAGTTTGTCTTGTCATCCATGGTGAGGACTTATTGGTAGTGTGATGCATAAAGCACATATTGAATAACTCAAATGTATATAGGCTTTTAGTGTCTCAAGGATGTGCTACAATTTTGGCTGTGTATATCTTGTTCATTAATGGTAATTGTTAGTGTTCAAAATGCCTATGGTGTTACCCAAGAGTGTGGTGTCATATCATCAATGTTATTTGTGGAAAATGCCTGTAGAATTCTTGTCCTATGCATCTGTATTTGTAATTGCAGCTTATATGGATTCCTTCCCCTGCATTTTATGCTTACTAGGTTTCGTAGAATATGAGCACTTTATTCATGCAAGCAGTATAACATTGTTACTAGAGAGTCCTTTATGGGAGCTGTTCCTACTTGCTTTATGTGTGGTGGTGAGCTTTCATGTTGACTATTTATCTTCGTTCTCATTCTCCTCCAGAAACACAACAGTCACGTTCAGCTAATATCGGGCCATTTACTGTTATTGGAAAAGGGACAAGAATTGGGGATGATTCAAGAATTACTCATTCTGTTATTGGAGAAGGATGTACAATTGGATCTAATGTTTCAATAGTGGGTTCATACATATGGAACAATGTTACCATTGAGGATGGTTGTGAGCTGCGACATGCAATAGTATGTGATGGTGTGATTATAAAAGAAGGTGCAACCTTGGAACCTGGGGTTGTATTGTCTTTGAAGGTTATATCGACTAACTCTCCCTGTTACTTCATTATTTTCTCGCTAATGTGGGGATCAACTTTCCAATCTATGTGAAGCCTGAACCTTTTGTATCTCCTGTTGGACTAGTGTGGTTGGAGGTAGAACTACGTCAAACAGGAATATTTAACAAGTTCTTTCAGTCTCTATTGATTATTGGATTCTCGTGGCTGAAATTTAGTTTTGGATTTGTTGCTCTATAGGTTGTAATTGGAAGAGAATTTGTCGTCCCTGCCTACTCGAAAGTGTCTCTGTTTCAGCAGCCAACTGCGCAAGATAGTGATGAAGAGTTGGAGTACGCTGATAACAGCAGTGGAGCAATAGATCCATGTGAGTTCTGATCCTGTATTACCTTGGCTTGTGGGTTGAATTATTTTCATTTCTCCTTGATGCAATGCAAATTGGTAGAGGTGAAGTGAATTGTATGTTTTTTGTTATTTTACCATCTAGAGGCTGACAGTGCAATTATTTGTCTGGCAACTTCTATGTCCTAGCCGTTGCTGATGCCGGTAACAAGTTGAATGGGGGAATAGTATCTGAATCATCTCAAATACAAGATTGGTCTAGTTCACAGGTTAGCCGTCATTTGTGTTTGCGGTGTTGATTTCCTTACAACCTTGATTGTTCCAAGTGAACTTTTTTTCTTCCTATTGGATTATTCAATTCGACATTTTGAATCGAACTATCGGACATTATAGAATCTGTTGCTGCCAGAACTGTGTCTTTTTTCTGTACCTTGTGCTTTTGCGAATCTTGACTCTGCATAGTGAATATGTATGGATCCTAGGACACATGATTCTATCAGAAAAAAACGTCTTCAACTGGGTCCATATATCTTAAATGGCATCATTTCTGGCCTTGCATATCTTAAGCTTTGTACTGTTTTTATTTGTTTCATGGTTGAGCTTTGTTGTTATTTTCTTGCCTTGAAACTGATAGTAGTGTACAAACTTGTAGTTTTAATTTCTCAAGGAAGTTACATGCATTTAAGTACTCCCTTTTTTTTTGGCCGAGCAGCTTGGACCTGGTGGTGCTGGTTTTATTTGGTCAGCTTGCGATGGAGGTTGTGAGGAAGAGTGGAGGCACTCTGTTGCACCGATTCCTACAGATCAACTTGCCAAGGCATTGCTAGCCATGGAGGAGGATTTGGAGATCGTAAATGTTCAAGAAAATGCTCTTACACCTTCTGGAGAGTTGAAACCTGGGTCTGACGATGATGACTCTGATAATATGGATGACTTCAATGTCGACACTGTTGATTTCGAGAAAGAGGTGTGTAAGTGAGTTGCTTGATGATGAAATTTGAAGATGTATGAATAACCTACTCTTTCAATAATTTTGGTTGATTTTCAGGCTGAAGCAACCTTTATGAGGGCTGCTGAGGACAATATTGCAGTCGATGATTTAATCCTTGAAGTGAACTCACTAAGGTGTGTCTGCTCTCTACACACGAGTTAATGTCTTAATACTGTTGTCTTATTGAACGAGTAAGTTCCAATGCCTGATAAGATTAGTTAGGAAACTAATCCATGGCTTACTTGGTTACCTTCAGTGAGGTATTATATGCTGTTTTTCTCTGAACTCTTTTTAAGATATATTAATATGAATTAAGTCTCCTATCTAAGTATAGACATTCATCATCTAGTCAACATACTATTACTTGTGGGTGTTGATGAACATTTTCCTCGGAGAGAGGAGTTATAGTTTTGATGAACAGTTTGATGCTTCTCGTGTTACCTTAGTAGATGCTCGAACCAGCACCAGGCTGAAGTTTCTAAATTATTAACAAGGAGAGATTGATGTTCTAACTTGTATTCCACTTATATACTGAAGGCAGACTTGCATTACATTTTATCAGGTTATCATACAACAAGTCTGCTGGGGACTGTGCTGGAGCCCTATTTTATCCAATGATGAAACTGGCTTTGGAATCTCCATATAACACAGCTGGTAATAGTTTGGGGCTTTGGGCAACATATATATTTCTCGTCACTGTAGTAAAATTTGTCGAACCTTGATGTCCATAGTTTGCCAGGTCGCACTTTTGCAGTATTCTTTTATTATCTTTTAGATGGATAGAAAGCATGGAAGGATATTGGATTTTGAGTTTTGAACTCGTCTTGAGAGTTATCCATACATGTGTGGGGGCGTGTGCTTGTGTATTGTATATGTCGGAAGTTTGGTGTAAGTGGCACAAACTATTGTATATGTCGGAAGTTTGGTTGAATTATTATAATGCTTTTATATGTGTTGGTTGATTGTTCTTTCGTTGTTCTCAGTTGAATTGCAAAAGAACGTTGCTAGTGTTGTGAGCAAGTGGCACAAACTATTCGAGGTGCTTGCTAGAGAAGTTGATGACCAGGTTTGTGTGGTTTTTCATTACATTTCTTTTGAAATTTTAGCTTACTCATTGATTGAAATTAATGGCAATTATGTATAAAGTAACAAGAGTAAAGAAGCGCATTAGCATTTAGCAAGAGCCCTGAGTTTAGTAATCATTGAACTCTTTTTATGCATTGTTCACCTGCCTGCCTCTAGGCGGTCAAGGTGAACAAAGGTTGTCCAATAATTTTTGTAAGCCCTTGTTCACCTTTCTATAATGTTGATCGTTATGCAATCCCTCTACTTGAACGGATGCTCTATGTTTTTCCTGGTACAGATTGAACTGATAATGAAATTTGAAGAAATGTGTCTCGAGTCTACGAAAGAGTTCGCTCCAATTTTCTCCCAGGTACCCCACATTCTCCGATAACATCAGCATTGAAGCTCTTCCACAACTCTACCCTCTCTTTTTATTTCCAATCTAACTACCACAGGGGTGCCTCAATCTTTGTTTCCTTCCAGATTTTGCATCTTCTATATCAAACCGACATATTAGGAGAGGAGGCCATTTTTAAGTGGGACGACGAGCGAAAAGATGCAGATGAATCTGACAGGGTTTTCGTGAAACAATCAGAGAAGTTCATTCAAGTAAACGATGGAACTCATTAAACCCGCATCACACGAGTTTTCTCCCCCTTTTGTTGAGATTTGGAGATAATATACTAATGTGTTTCTCTGATGCATTTCTGGTGCAGTGGTTGAGGGAAGCGGAGGAGGAAGAAGACTGAAAACAGGTAGCAAGAGGTGGTGCTGATTCGGTTTTTGATACTCTGTTAAAAGCTGGTGGCAGGTATATAAAGAAGTGATAGATACATACGATTTGGACCGTGATGTCCGGAATCCAGCCGCCACCTTGTAACATCGAATTTATGCTTCGATTTTCATGTACTAATGTGAGAGAGTTCTCTTCTGAGCTGAGAGTTGCTAACTGCAAAGTCACCCTTGTCAGGGTTTTTTTTTACCCAGTCCTTTGGTTTCAGATGTTCACCATTTTGCGATCAGATGTATATGATGCACAACATTTGTAACAAGTAAGAATGTAGTCAGGAGGCCTGTTTGCAAATTGGTGTGCAAAATTTCCAGTCGTATGTGATTGTTCGTCTCTTCGATTTTCATATGCGATGAAGGTTAGGTCTCCAAATTTCAAACCAGCTGTATGCAAATTGGTGTTGCTGATTTATTTTGGGTAAAAAGCTGATTCTTGTTCAGTTATCTCTTATCAATACTCTCCCACATCTAATGGCGGGAAACAAACAAACAACCGGAGACATAAACTGGGCCTGAACCTTGTGAAACGAGGAGGCCCTATTCTCAATTGGGCCCTGTCCAAGCTGAAAAATAGAACACAGAGAAAATCTCCCGGCCACTTCAAGTTTGGGCTAGGGCATTTTTACGAAGCCCATATACCAAACTTGTTTCCGCGCCTGTCTGTGCTTTCGTAAGCCTACAATTTTTACAATTTTTTTTGTTTTGCTCTGTCTGTACTCTGTAGTTTTCTCGTTGACGTTTGTTTCCTCGGAAAACCGAAGCGAGTCGAGCAGCTCCTTTTTTGCATACCCTTTCCCCCCCTGCCTGCCACCTTGCTGAACGAATTTGTCACTTCATTCTTCTCTTTCCGCAGCTCGGCATCAAGCTCTGAAGAACGTTGCCCTCCGCCCACTTCTTTGGCCAGGTAGATATCTCTGCTCGCGCATTTCTTTCTAACTTGAAGTTCTGTAATCAGCATTTGGTTAGGATTTGATTGGTTATCAGTTAACGAGAGGTTCATTCTAGCTCGGAAAGCTATGGATTTGGTATTGTCGGTTTCCCTTTCTCATTTCTATTCTGTTCTCGGGTTGAATTCAATTAGGGGCGAGTTGGAGTTAGAGTAAGCTTCCTGTTTTCACGACGCATTTATTTGAATTAGGGCAACTTGGTTGCTGGTGCGAACTTCGTTTACTCGTGTAATAAATGGAGGAGCAATCAGTAACACCTCCCGGGAAGCGGAAGGCGCCCGAGGAAGGCGAAGTTGAGGATACCCCTCGGCAGGATTCTGCTCAGAAGCGTCAGAATGCGTTGAGGAGTTGCGTGCATGAGGTAGCAGTGCCTAGTGATTATACCTCTCCTAAAGATGGAGTTGACTATGGAACTCTGTCGAATCCAGTGTACAACGGTGAGATGGCCAAAACCTACGAGTTTGTGCTTGATCCGTTTCAGAAGGTATCGGTTGCCTGTTTGGAAAGAAAAGAGTCTGTTCTTGTCTCTGCGCATACTTCGGCTGGGAAGACAGCAGTGGCTGAGTATGCGATTGCAATGGCATTTAGAGATAAGCAGAGGGTCATATATACTTCCCCGCTGAAAGCTTTGAGTAACCAAAAGTATAGGGAGTTGCAGCATGAGTTTGAAGATGTTGGTTTGATGACTGGTGATGTGACGCTCTCACCCAATGCTAGTGTTTTGGTGATGACAACGGAGATTCTTAGGGGAATGCTTTACCGGGGATCACAGATTTTGAAGGAAGTTGCATGGGTTATCTTTGATGAAATCCATTACATGAAAGATCGTGAGCGAGGGGTTGTTTGGGAGGAGAGTATCATCTTTTTGCCACCAGAGATTAAAATGGTTTTCCTCTCTGCCACAATGTCGAATGCTACAGAGTTTGCAGAGTGGATTTGCCGTGTGCACAAGCAGCCTTGTCATGTGGTGTATACTGATTTCAGGCCGACTCCTTTGCAGCATTATGTCTTCCCTGTGGGTGGATCTGGCCTATACCTTGTTGTTGATGAGAATGAACAGTTCAGAGAAGAGAATTTTATGAAGCTGCAGAATTCCTTCTCAAAACAGAAAGCCGGTGATGGGAATAAGAGTGCTAATGGTAAAGGAGGCGGTAGGATTGTGAAATCTGGGAATGCTTCTGGAGGGTCAGACATATACAAAATTGTAAAGGTCTGTAGCTTAGCTATTTCATTAACATTGTTCTTTGGTTTGTGTTCCATTAAAGTTCTTGTATTAATGTGTTATTCAGATAGTTTTAGACGGATTTGTGAGGCATTATAAGTGCCTTTCCTCTTTTAATTATAAGTGCCATTTATAACTTGATATACTGTATCTTAGGCTAGACGGCTTCAAATTGTTATTTTTAGATCACATATTGCCTTCACTAAACCCATTGTTTAAAAGAAAGAGCTCTTCAGATACATTTTTCTATCTGTTCTGCATCAGATAAACAAATAAAAGCATTTGGGAGTAGACGAGATTGGTACTTATTTGATTCATAAAAGAACTGTAAGGAAGGAAAGTAAGTAGAATATTCGTGGTGGCGCTCTACCTCTCCCCTAAATGTTTCCAAGCATTTCCTGCAAATTGTAAAGGGAGGACAATCATTGATTTCAACGAAACATTAGCGAACACTCATTATTGACCCTCGTAATTCTCTGTAAAATAGCACCATATCTTCTTACTTCGTTTCCCCAATTTCAAATTTGGGTTTTTACTTAAAATTTGTTTACATCAGTAGCAGAGAATAATAAGAATATGCATTAGCCCTTTCCTGAGAACTGCTTGGCCTATGTACTAAAGTGTTTGCGGCAAATTACTATTTCTTAAGCTGGTCAAGTTTGTGACTTACTTCCAAGATTGAATTTAGTTACACCCTGCCCTTAGAAACGTCAATCTTGTTTCAGATGATTATGGAGCGGAAGTTTCAACCTGTTATCGTTTTCAGCTTTAGTAGAAGAGAGTGTGAACAGCATGCAATGTCCATGTCTAAGCTGGACTTTAATACACCAGAGGAGAAGGAAATGGTGGACCAAGTGTTCAATAATGCAATACAATGCTTGAATGAAGAAGATAGAAGTTTGCCTGCTATTGAATTGATGTTGCCACTACTTCAGCGAGGTATCGCTGTACATCATTCTGGTCTGCTTCCTGTCATTAAGGAATTGGTCGAGCTTCTTTTCCAAGAAGGCCTTGTAAAGGCATTATTTGCTACAGAAACAGTAAGTTTACTTCACAAACTTACCTCTTGGCGTTTGGCAGCTTTCCGGATTAGCTTCAGTTTTTTTGTCTTCCTCCATTGCTGTTCAAGAGGCGTGTATTATTGTGGTCTTCTTTTTACTGCTCTGTTCAAGGGGCTACTAAGAGTGTAGGTGTTGAATAACTGCTTAAGCAACACTCTTTCTTTTTTAACAGTTTGCAATGGGTTTAAACATGCCTGCCAAGACTGTTGTTTTTACAGCGGTTAAGAAGTTTGATGGTGATAGTCACCGTCACATAGGATCTGGTGAATATATCCAGGTGAGCAGTGGTACTTCAAGGACAATGCTCATGCATGAGTGAGTCAGTGTTATAACCATTATACGATGTTGTTGTTGTCAATTTAGATGAGTGGAAGAGCTGGTCGGCGTGGCAAAGATGATCGCGGTATCTGTATCATAATGATTGATGAGCAGGTAAGCATAGAGTTTGGATGCTAGATATTATAAACCTAGTCGACGTTAATTTGCAATGCAGTGAAATTAAGTTCAAGGCACACTTGTTTTATGGATACCATTGTGGTGAAGAAAAGGTGACCAGCCAGTGTCTTGCTCAATTTACTGATCCTGTGTAACTATTGCAGATGGAGATGGAGACTCTCAAAGATATGGTTCTGGGTAAACCAGCTCCTCTAGTTAGTACTTTTAGGCTGAGCTACTATTCCATTTTAAACTTAATGAGCCGTGCGGAAGGCCAGTTCACTGCCGAGCATGTGATTAGAAATTCGTTCCACCAATTTCAATATGAAAAGGTTTGGTTGTGCCCATTTCTCCTTGTATGAGTGATTAAATCATCGGGTGACTAAAACCATTGATTGCTCCTCTTTGCAGGCTTTACCTGATATTGGCAACAAGGTTTCGAAACTCGAACAGGAAGCTGCTACCTTGGCTTCATCTGGAGATGTAATGAATATGTTCCACGTGTTTACATTCCCTCTCCTGTTACCACTTGATTTTGTGCACAACTAACTTTTGAAAGTTTTCTTAATACTTTTTCTAGGGCAAAGTTGCTGAATATCATAAGCTGAAGCTAGAAATAGTGCAACTAGAGAAAAAGATGATGACAGAAATCACAAGGCCTGAAAGAGTACTTTATTATTTATGCCCTGGTCGACTGGTACGTTCTGGAGATAAGTGTATTGGTGTCTGAATGAAGCTACAAGGCTAATTTCTGAATGTATATTATTTGGAAGTTGTCTTCTTTGAGGTTTATCATTTTTGCTACTAATCTTCATTTATATCTCATTTCAAATGTCACCTAGATTCTGTTTTGAATCCTTCATCCGTGGGATAGGTATAGTATCTCCGTGCTAACGGCCCTTTTGAAAATTACTCATATTCTAGTCTGTGGTTTGGCAGTTATGTGTGTCGTAATAACCAATGCTGATGCTGTTACCATGTAGACTATAAACGACATCCTCCTCATGTTTGTTTATCTTTTTCTGCAGGTCAGAGTCAGAGAAGGTGGAACAGATTGGGGTTGGGGAGTTGTAGTGAATGTTGTGAAGAAGCCCTCTTCAGGGATGGGTGCACTGCCCTCTCGTGGTAGTGGCTACATAGTGGATACTTTACTTCACTGCACACAGGGACCAAGTGAGGGTGGCTCAAGGCCCAAACCTTGTCCTCCCCGGCCTGGGGAGAAAGGAGAGATGCATGTGGTAAGTTTTGAAGTTGGATGTAAACTCTTTCACCTGCCAAGCCAAGTATTATTGTTGTTCTCTAGTATGATATGTCGGCCTATGGTGTCTGATAAAATTTTATGCAATTCGATTAAATTTCTTCTAATTATTCTCTTCTTGAACTGAACTCTTAAAGATGCTGACATGAGTTGGCACAATCCTGACTTGAGTCTGTATTTGCTTCAGGTCCCTGTTGAGCTCCCTCTGGTTTCTGCTCTCAGTAAAGTGAGAATTACCATTCCATCTGATCTCCGACCATTAGAAGCAAGGCAAAGTATACTTATAGCATTGGAAGAACTAGGATCTCGGTTTCCTGAAGGTCTTCCAAAACTTAATCCAGTGAAGGTAACTGCTTTACTGCGAGTTGAATGTCAGAAAGTTTATCTTATCCATAAGGTTTAAATAGTCAAAGAGTTAGTGGTAGTAATATATAACTGCTTCGAAAATGTCATATTGGTTTGGACCTAGTTCTGCAATATCATATGTTGGTATGCCTCACCCCTGAAGATTGAAGGTATAAGTTAAGGTTTCTTGGTAAAAGAATAAATAGCAGTATTAAACAGGCACTCACTAGAGAGATGGACCATCTTGTTTTATCTTTAGAAGATTTATCCACATCCTGTGTCATTTTCTTTTTGTCCTTTGATGTGCTCAATGGATTTTTAAGTTACGAGACCGAACATTTTTTAATTTCCCGAGTATAAATTTATGTGGAAGTGGCCGACATTCTATCTTTCACAATAGTAGAAATTATGAACTTTTCTTTTGAGATTACCTGCATCTTTTGTGGTTATAAATTACCGTTGCCATTCTAAGGGTTCTTTCCTCGAATGTACTCCCAGGATATGAAAATTGAAGATCCTGAAATTGTTGATTTGGTCAAGCAAATAGAAGAACTGGAAAGGAAGTTACATGCACATCCTATGCATAAGGTAATCGTGCCCTGTGGATCAAATTTTTACCTTGTTTCTTTGATTGACATTGTGTTGTGATAGTGAGTGGATGAAAAAAGTTGTCTCACTGGGTTATTCATATGATATCTTGCTTTCAGTCTCAAGATGTGAATCAAATTAAAAGTTTCCAAAGGAAGGCAGAGGTGGATCATGAAATTCAACAACTCAAGTTAAAAATGCGAGACTCTCAGGTATTTAGCTTGGTGCTCCTAGAATTAACATGTAAAATCTGTGTGTTTACTAGCAACAGTCATCACTGTGATTGAGATCAAGAATCATCCATCTTTTTATGAAATCTGCAGCAAGTTTCATGACTAGGTGCCAGCTCAATTGTAGTTGTTTCAGTGGCTATCTCTTCTTTCTATATATTAAAACCAAACATGGAATTGCTGAGCATTTCATCCTCTTATAGAAGCAGCACTTTCATCTATGTGGCTGAAGCCGTATTGTGGAAAAATTCTACCTGTGATAGTATCTTATGTTGCAGCATAAGATATTACTGTTGCTCATCTTATCTTTCTTTTCCTTTGAGGACTTAGTTCTTGTTCTCCCATTACCCTATGCATTTTATTTAAACAGCATTCCGCTCTTGTTTTTTGGTACCCTATTCTCATTCCCTACTACTAAACAAACTCATCTTTGATGATTGCAGCTGCAAAAATTTCGTGATGAACTTAAGAACCGTTCACGAGTCTTGAAAAGACTAGGTCATATAGATGGCGACAGTGTTGTTCAGCTAAAGGGTCGGGCAGCCTGTTTGATAGACACAGGAGATGAACTTCTTGTAACCGAACTCATGTTTAATGGTAACCTAATTACTGCTCCCTCCTAATGAGATCCCCTGTGTTTCTATCATGTTTTTTTTGTCTGGTCTGGTTTTATCACATAGAATATGATGCAAAGTGGGTGTACAGCTTCTGGGGCTTGTTCAGTTGCAAGAAAAACGTTGTACCATGCGAAGGAAGCTTTTGCATAGGGCTGAAATTGTGCAATATTGTGGTTCTATGTTAAGTGCAAAGATAGGTTTTGTTACTGAAGCATCGGACTTAGGTTTCAAAATGTTACTGATTCACTGTTTTAGGGGCACTATCTTGGTCTGGCTGAACAGTATATAGCTTGATAGAAATGGCTTCATCTTACCTTTCTGTGATGCCGGTCCATGGTTGCACTATGCTGCAGCCTGCAATTGATTCACCAATGAGCTTTTAGAGATTTTGGTCCATCATATTGGTCATGAAACCTATTAATTAACATTCTTGGATGTGAGCACAGTAGACTTTAATCTAGAAAAGTTGCATTTGGAAATAAGATTCGTGTTTTATTGTCAGGTACCTTCAATGACCTTGATCATCACCAAGTTGCAGCTCTTGCAAGTTGTTTCATTCCGGTGGACAAATCAAACGAGCAAATACATTTGAGAACCGAGCTTGCTAAACCATTACAGCAGCTCCAAGAAAGCGCAAGAAAAATAGCAGAGGTTTCATCTTTAGCACAGTTCTTTTCCCTCTTGTGTGCCTCTGCTAATAGCTTTCAGCTTTACAATAACAAGACAAATTTGACATAAGGGATCAACTTGATTGCAGATACAATACGAGTGCAAGTTGGAAATAAATGTAGACGAGTACGTCGAGTCAACTGTGCGGCCATTCTTGATGGACGTGATTTACTGTTGGTCAAAGGTAATTCTCCCTTTCTCGCGCCTTCTTACCTTTCTACCGTCACCTATTGTCCAGCAAAATGGTTGTAATTGGTCTCCTTATTCCTCCTGTTATTCTGTCCCTCTTCCAGGGAGCTAGTTTTGCAGAAGTTATACAGATGACTGATATCTTCGAGGGCAGTATCATTCGAAGCGCCAGACGGTTGGATGAATTCTTGAACCAGGTAAACTTACGACAATATATTTTATACATCTCTTTTAAGTCAAAACTCTAGTTTTATGTCATCAACCAACTTTGGCTGAGCTTCTCTTTTTGTTCACTCTGCAACTCGACGACAACCCAGTTACGTGCAGCTGCTCAGGCCGTCGGAGAAACCAGTTTGGAGGAGAAATTCGAAGCAGCTTGCAAAAGCCTTCAACGTGGGATTATGTTCGCAAACTCTCTGTATCTGTAAGCGCTACTAATCGTTGTTTTGCAATGCATGGGACAGTTATTCGACAAAAGATGGAAATGGAAAAAAGCTCCACCTCCTGTAGTGATGTGAATGCCTCCCCTTCCATAATGCTTACTTTGTTGTATATAAACAAACAGTTGAGGGGCGAAGAAAGAGCATAGGAGGATAGGCAGGGAAAGCAAAATAGGGATTTCTTTTCTCAGTAGATTAGGCATTGCTACGTGGAGTTTTTTCCAGAAATAGCACCTTTAAAAAAAAAAATTACAAAACTAGCACCCTCCCAAAAATATTTACAAAACCAGCACCCTTTTTTATTGATCGCACCCTTGTGGTGCGTTTTACAATCGGCCATGCTCTTTCTCCTTGCCATCAATCGGCCATTTTTTCGGCGTAATTCGGACAGAGCTTCGGCTCGACTCGGAGGGTTTTGAGGAAAAAACCTAAGAAATGTTTTCTGATGGCAGATCGGACTTAGCCGCAACCAACAGACCACTATTTCCTAGGCTTTTGGGAGGGGAGGGTTTAGAGAGATAAATTGTAGAGAGAGAAGGAAGAATGGGTTGTGGTGTGAAGAAATGAGAGGGGGAGGGGAGGTATTTATACCCATCAGACCGCACTCCCCAGGGGCGGTCCGTTAATTTTGCACTAAGGGAAACCGCTGCCTCCCGATGCGGTTTGCGCTTTCCTAGGCTTGACCGCATCTCGGGCGCGCGTTCTGGGATCCTTGGCGCGGATCGCTCCGCTGGCATGCGGTCCACCGTCAGATCGCATCTCCATCTGACGGTCTTGAAGACCGTTCCGCAGCTGCTCTGGATCGCTGCGCTGGCGTGCTTTTCGGCCTGGAGTCCGCACCTCCATGATGCGTTTTGTAATTTTTTTTTAGGGTGCTATTATTGGAAAAAACTCTGCTATGTGAAGCTTATCATCCTGTCCTGTGTGTCTGTTGTACCTTGCAAGTACTTGGAACACATTTTTACCGAGCCGGAACAATTCGATTTAGTGTTGATGGGAATCATGGTTGAGTTGTTCGGAATTCGATTCAGTGTTTTCGTTTGGAATCGACCAAAATGACTATTGAGCATCCAACTGAATTTCGAACCGAGGAGTGTGTGTTCAGTTCATTGAACTGAGTGATCGTTCTGGCCTAGTTCGGTATGGGGTTATTGAACCGGCTGCCCACCTTTAGCCAAACCGGCGCGGAAACAAGTTTGGTATACGGAATTCACAAAAACGCATGGTCCATGAAACCATACCGGAGACCGTACCAGAAAATTCAGCGGTAGGGTATTTTATGATAAAATCGTGGTTTAACTGTAGTTCAACAGTTATACCGATAAATACCGCCTATTGGTTTAGCCTCCAATACTGGTATTTCGTGGTTTAACCGCCGGTACGGTACGGTTTCATGGACACGGAAAAAACGGCCCTATCTCTGTGTTTTATCTTCTGAGCTTAGGCAGGGCCCAATTCGAGGGCTTCTTCGTTTGACAACGATCAGGCCCAGTTTAAGTCTCCGTTTGTTTATTTATAAATGGGGTTAAAGACACATTTGGTCACCGAGATTACAAAATCGGGACATGTTTAGTCACTAGAAAAAGTTAATATCAAATTTGGTCACTACAATTATTAAAACTGGACACATTCACTCGCCGTTAGTTGCCGTCCAACTCCGTTAAAAGAGTCTGTTATGTGCTGACGTGGCTAACGTGAGCGCCTAGTCAGCGCCGTTTTGGGTCGGAAATGGTCAAACCCGACCCGCCACATCACTAAACCTGCCACATATTAAACCCAGCCCAATCCATTAACCCAACCCGACCCAGAAATAAACCCTAACTCACCTAACCATACCAGATCCCACTTGAAAAAAAACTGATTTGTTTCCATTTCAGACCCTGAAACCCTTCTCCTTACTTGTAGCGATTGGGGATATTCTTGATCATAACGGTTGTCTCTTCTCCATTCGGGAGTAGCGGACCGTCAAAAGGCGAACTAGCATCCGGTAGAGCTGAAGGTGGTGATGCTGCCGCAGCTATGGCGGCCGGAGACACATAATCCACGTCTTGCTGCGGCGGTGGCGGTAGGAGGAGGAGGTTGGACGGAGGGCAATAGTAGTAGCATCTGGTGTAGTTGTCATAGTACAACGTCGGCGGCGGCTGGCTATATGGAACGTAGATGAGCATGGTGGCTGTCGCCGGTTGGTTGGCGACCACCATAGGGAGCGGCGGCGCCTCTGGATTCCACATGAGTTCGATCGGGGGGTTTATTTCTGGGTCGGGTTGGGTTGATGGATTAGGTTGGGTTTAATATGTGGCGGGTTTAGTGACGTGGCGGGTCGAGTTTGACCATTTCCTGCCAAAAACGGCGCTGACTATGCGCTCACGTTAGCCACATCAGCACATAACGGACTCTTTTAACGGAGATGGACGGCAACTAACAGCGAGTGACTAAATGTGTCTAGTTTTAGTAATTGTAGTGACCAAATTTGATATTAACTTTTTATAGTGACTAAACATGTTCCGATTTTGTAATTTCAGTGACCAAATGTGTCTTTAACCCTTTATAAATGATTTCTTCGATTTTAATTCCCTGTTTACTCCACACCTGTCTCCCGTCGAAACCATTTCTCCCATCCCAGCTGAAATTTTCAGACCTACTTCCGCTCTCGACGATCAAACGCGGCGAACCCATTCCTGTCCGATCAACTACGACGATGGCCAACAACGACGTTCTGGTAAACCTTTGCTCAGAGACTCTAACTGGCTTCTAAACTGTTTCTCTCCCTACTGATACAAGCATTTTGCAGTTTGATGGTCTCGAAGCTGATGTCGCCCTGGAAGCCGTCGTGGCGGTGGCTCCGGCTGGTGAGCAGGCTCCCGAAGAACTCGCGGTCGTGGCTCCGGAGGTACTGGTGGAGGAGGAGGAGGTAATGTTCTTTGGTTTCTTGTTTACTTTTTATAGATGCCCATAATGTGTTCGATGAATTGCCTCTGTGAAGAAATATTACTGCAATAATTACTCCCGCTGCATGAGGTTAGAGATGATAAGTTCCTTCTTTCTGCTAGTGGTATTTTGTTCGAATGACTTTGCTATGTGCTGTTTTGTATGTCGACATGTTTGTATGTGTTGCTTGGAACTTGAAACCGTTTATGGAAAGATATATTACTGCAATTTTGACTCCCGCATAAATTCATTTTTCCTGTTTGTAGTATTTAGGTCCAATGACTTTGTTACCTATAGAAAATTGGTTTAGGTTTAGAAAGATGCAATGGAGGAAAGAGAGTAGGGGAATCCTCTGCTAAGGCAGCTGGGTTTCGTTTCATCATATACCCTGTTGGGTTTCAAGTTTTACTGTTCTTACAACGGTAAAGGCCACGTGGCTAAACTACATAAGCTGGTAAATAACTAAACGAAGTAAACAGATAAAACGATAACTAAAGCAAAGAGACATCGTTCTGGATAACTGAGGCTGTGGGAGAATAACGAAACGTTTCCCATTACAACGAATCGCCTTCAATCCCACAGGCCACAGCTCTGCTTCAGAGAACCTTGCTGCTGCAGTACTCTGCATCTTCTTCTTCTTCTTCATACCACCTTGCACAGCCTCTTCCTCTCGATTCAAGTCCTGACAGGATTCTATCTTCAATATTATTTGCTGAATTGTAACTTCAATTGTCTGTTGAGATGTTTGTCTGTGTGTATCTAACCAACAATGTGTGTGTGTAACTTCAATTATTTGCTTCCTGCCTTCCCAGTTTTTTCTAATTGAAGTGTGTGTGTGTGTATAGGTGCTTGGAGTTTTGGTGCGATCCTCCTTCCATGGGATCGTTGCCGACGGGCTTGCTGTACCTCGTGTGCGTCTCCATTTTGTCTATACGACCTACTTGGGGCGGCTTTCCTGTGAAGACTGCGAGGCAAAGTACCTCACGGGGTGGTTCAACTACACCCGTGAGGATGATGAAGTCGAAGAATTTGGCCCCGGAGGCGAGATACTTGATGTGGTGGAGATTCGGGTCGGTAACTGAAGAGAGGAGGCTGCTTCTGATGCATGTTTGTCTATCTGTTTAGTAGCAAATTGTCCTAATTGACTACTATTACTTGGTACTTATTTTAGCTTTGATGTAACTGTCGGCTGACCATAGCTGCGCAAAAGTTAAAATGCTAACAAGCCCTTTTGTTAGCAGATACTAACTCATATCTAAAATAGCTGAACTAGTATCCACCTTATAGACAAAATTATGGCTACTGAAAATATTTCGATAAAACTAGAAAAATTAGGGAAAAAAATAGATGAATATCAAGAAAATCTAATAAAGATAATAGAAGACAATAATAAACAATTAAGATCAATATTAGAATATCAAGGTAATGAAAAACAAAAAGATATATATTCAGATTTAGAACTCGCTAAGGATACAATTACCAAAATAATAGTGGATATAAAACAAAGGGAAATAGCAATGGGAAAAACAACTCCAAATTCTAAAGAAATAGTATTACCGGTAGAAGATCTTAAGAAAATCATTATTAAACTTCAAAAAATAATAATTAAATTAGATAATAAAAGGAGCATTACAATTGAAGATATAAAAGAATATTTGAATGAGCATAAATCAGGAAAATCTAGCCCATTAACTATCATGGCACCCTATAAACTTCTATGACTAGTATTGACGAACAAATTAATAAATTAAATGATTTACTAGCCGCAATTACTATTGAATCAGAATCAGAGATAGAAGAAAATATAGAAAACGATAAAATAGTTCTTGATTATAGTAGCGACGAAAACCCCTATAAAAATTACACAAAAACTGAAACTGAGGATCAAGCTGAAACATCACGAAAGCGTGATTTTAATGACTATAAAGATGGTCAACTATTTTTTGATGAATACTTATATAAAAATTCGTATACACCTCGCAAAGGGGGAGGATGGAGTAAAATACCTCAATCTTACATACCAAAATATTCCACCACTAGTTTTAACAGTCCTGATATATTAGATCTTGATTGTTGCGTCAATCCATTAAAAGAATTAGAAGACTGGAAAAATCGAGCAGGATTACTAATACAAACTAATGAAGATCTAAAGAAATTGCACCCTAATGAAATGTTTAATTTCTTAATATATAAAACAACTGGGGCAGTTTTTCATTATCTTAACAACATGGATATTCCTACTAAGACAACGTTATATGGAACAACGGATGCGACGAATACCTTTGAAAAAGTCTTAAATGCAATAACTCATGAATTCTTAGGACGACATCCTCGA